TTTATTTGACTTTTCAAGGTTTTTTTATGCCCATCATAGACACAGATTAGGAAATTTAGTCTACCGCAGAAAAGATTAATAAGCCTTTCACACAAAAATCATGTTAACATGAAAATGTTAAAAAATGACAGGCCTTTTAAAAAATCGCTTGTAAATCTCTCATTATGCTATATTATCTCTAAATCTTTGATTCAATATTTTTGTCAAATTGTCTTCTTTCAGTTAGCACAGGTTTTGCATTTCTTTTTGGAACTGGTCATAGTCCTCTCTGATCCAACAGGGTCTGAGCTTATGCAGCTCAGTTTTGAATGAAAAATGCTTTTTTTTTTGTGGATAATATTGGCAATGCTCACTCCAAAACTGCATAGGCTGTTTCATATAGACTTTTTCCAGTGACACACACAATGACATTGTATATGGGGAGGTTTTGTCCCCAGAAGTGAGTTAAATCTGATAAAACCTCCCAGGTATGTCTTCAAAGGTGAAAATTATACATATAGATATACTATATATGATATGTATATATGAAGTAAACAATGTTTTTGTGTTGTTTGATGTGTGTGTTTTGTGTGTCAGGGAGGAGAGATTGGAATTAACATCAACTGGAAGTGTAATCTGGACTATAATGTGACGTACTGCAATCCCAATTACTTCTTCACACGCTTGGATGCTGCTTTTGAGAACAGCCTTGCTTCCAATGGATATAACTTCAGGTAGCACGTTAACACACATACTCATGCATCATTCTGTCTTTTCTGCAACTGCATCTTCTTTTTGTCTCTTCCAGGTTTGCTAAATACTATCAGTCCGAAGATGGGACCGAGCATCGAACGCTTCATAAAGCTAACGCCATCCGCTTTGAAATAATCGTGTCTGGCAATGTGGGTAGACTGTATAGCCCTAAATGCTATAAAGCAGCTTATGTGACATACGGACTTGTGCGTGTCTCATTTTGCTTATCTATTTGCAGGCAGGAAAGTTTAGCACTGTGCCATTTCTGATTAATTTGGTGGCAGCTTTCACTTCAGTGGGATTGGTAAGACAGTTGTGACACACACATTAATGCTGGCAAAACTGCTGGTTAGGCACATAATATCTAACTGATGTATATTTTTGCAGGCTACAGTGCTCTGTGACATCATCCTTCTCAACTTTCATAAAGGGGCGGACGAGTACAAAGCAAAGAAATTTGAAGAGGTGCCAGAGTTTACTGATGTAAATATGTAGAGATAAGTAGAGCGATGTCTTATCTTTGTGTCCTCTGTATGACAGGTATCAGGCGTTGTGTCCGAGTCAGCAAACAACAGACTCTATGAGGGAAGCCAGATGTCAATCAAAGCATTGGAGAAGAGCTCAAATGACTCAGGGACCTTTTCTATCGGACGGCAGGACCCGTCAAACCAATGAGACTTTCAAATAATATAGCTACTTCTAGATTTGTGATTATTTGCACTTTCGGTATAGTAATGGTATAGTAGTAGTTTGTTTTAAATCTGTGAACCTAGGGCTGGATTTGTTAAAGAGTTTAAATAAAAGCATTCTTCGGTCAAGCCCAAACCCTGAGAAAACACACATCTATACAAATAGCCTACACTACCAGTCAAAAGTCTGTATATGCACCTGATCATTCTTTATTCTTATTTTCTGCATTTTAGAATAATAACCAAGTCATCAAAACTATGAAATAACAGAAATGTAAGTATGAGAGTTACATAGTAACCAAAAACGTTAACCAATCAAAGCATCTTATTTCTTGAGCTTTAAACAGATTTTCCATGTTTGCTGGACAGTGTCTCATTTTCTCAAGAAATTCTTATCACAATTTACTGTATATTTGTCTACAAAATTTCATTTTAAGTTGCTTCATGTAAAAAGTGAGAGTTTTGATCAAACCTTTGACTGACAGTGTATATACAAACTAATTAAGCAGGAGTAAATTAAATTACATATAGAACAGTAAATCATTCATTAAATACTAGATAATCTTTCAGCGTGTAAAATGAACGAAGAAAGAAAATAATGATATGTGAGTATATGGATATTCTGTGTGTTTCATGTGAAATATTTGTCTAAATCAGCTTGATTTTCATTCTGATCACTTTATTTACTTGAACTTTATTTACTTGAGTAATGATATCTTGGAAAATAAATTGCACAACCTCTTATTACATTTTACTTAATTTTTAATAAAAAAATGCATTTAATGTAATGGCGTATCAAACTGATGCTGGCATATGGCAGTCTCATTAAAATGATTTTTTTTCCAGAATGTAATAATGATCATTTTCTGTGTCGCTCTTGTCTCTTGGAAGTACAGTCTCTGTTTATGTGAGCTGCAGAATTTCAGAGGTGGAGTCAGATGTGAAGAGAGTTAAAATTTGTACTTTCCTCTTCTGGATTTTAAAGACACAATCAACTTAGGGAAAGAAGGCCGGGGAGAAGGTTCTTCTTGCCAGTCGTTATCATTTTCTTCATCATCATTATCATCATCAGATTCTGGCAAATAGCTGGGCGGTAAGATGATAACCTCCTCAGAGAATCGAACGCATCGAGTGTCTTCCATCCTCCTCTGAGAGAAGAGGAGAAACCATGACATGATGGATTGTAATTGTGGACACTAATATGATTACAATGGATTCACAATTGATAGAATGTGTTTACAATAGACACATCAGCTGAAAAGAATTGCCATTTGAAATGACCAGCTGTTGCAGGCCTGTTCATGCTGTGTCTTATTATTCTCATTAAGGCTGCATTTATTTGATACAGTAAACACTGTGAAATATTATTACAATTTAAAATATTCTATTGGAAATAATATATTAGTTATTTACATAAAATGTAATTTATTCCTGTGATCAAAACTGAATTTTCAGCATCATTATTCCAGTCTTCAGTGTCACATGATCCTTCAGAAATCATTCTAATGTGCTGATTTGCTGCTTAAGAAGCTTTCTTATTATCGTCAGTGTTAAAAACAGCTGTTAATATTTTTGTGGAATCTGTACTACATTTTTCAGGATTCTTTGATCAATACAAAGTTCTAAAGAACATCATCTATTTGAAATAGAAATCTTTTGTAATATTATAATTACTGACTCAAAACCTTTGAATGGTAGTGTACAAGCTAAAATTAATAAGGATGGCCCTCATATCAGAGTTAAGTTTCTTACGTCACACATTAATCACACAGTATGACCTACAGTACCTGTCCAAAAAAAATTTTTTGTAGTGACGCACACCGTAGTAGCCTTGTTCACACGACAAGCTGAAAATCCAGCACCCCCCAAAAATTAATTCAACAAAGGCACTAAAACCACAAGCATCTTAACATAGTAACACATGTGCCTCTGTAGTAACAAACTCCCTTTATGTTCAAACCCAAAAACCAAAACCTGATCTTAATATTGATAAGTCAGTTATCAATAATATCAGTTAAAACTGCTTTATCAGAATGCACATTAACTTCTGACATATAGTACATCCTACCTTTTTGACCGCAGTCTCCAAAGTTTCAGAAGACTCTGAGTCTTGAGAGACGGAGTCCAGGAGCGAGTTGAGGGAAGTTGCGGCTGAAGGGTTTGAAGGCTGTGCCTCGTCCTCCATGTCTTGTGTTGTGTGTTCAAACGATGCCCTCCTTTTCGTCCAGTGCTCTCTTTTTCGGCTCAGAGATCCGTGGGATGTTACGGACAATCTTTTCATTGACTGAGAGAAAAGAAGGAAAGGAAACAAGAAAGAATATTTTTAATACTAATAACACAAGAAAAAAGTATTGTTTCTGCTTATAATGCTTATACTCTCACCTTAACATTTGAAAGGTCAAGGAGGGGAATAAAATCCTTCGTCCCACCTTGTGGCTGGTTATGACTGGGGCCGGACACTTGATTAGACGTCGGCTGTTGATCACTATGCTCAGTTGCCTTTGATTCATTCGGATCAAGCTGGGAAAACTGTGATTGTCCATTTGATTGCTCACTGTTGTGAGATTTGTTGGGGTTCAGATTGATGTTTTGTGACTGATCTATAAACGGGTCAGAAGTTTGTAGTGGATTTGTGGGGAGATCAGTAACACTCATTTGGGACGTCTCGGTCTGTTTATCGGAGGCCATGTCTTGTGCAAAGCTCTCTAGGTGCGGCGGTTGTGTCCAACCTAAATGGGAATCGGTTGGGTCTTTATGAGTCCATTTACTTGGCAATTCTTCTTCATGTGATTGGTTATTAGTATTTGGTAACTCGTTTGATTGCTCCGGTTTGCCGCAGTTAACTGAGAGAAACCGAGCCCACTCCGTACCGCTGAAGATCTCCTCCATTAAATTAGAAGTAGTTCCAAACGAGAACAGACTGTCACTGACAAGAAGGATGAAAGATCATGTAAACAGAATGCCATATACAACCAATGAAAATCACCTGAACCAGGATGTGGCTTTAATAGTTACAATAGATAATTTTACTCTTTTAGCCCCAAGGGGTCACACATTCTTTCTCGATGAGACAGTTTCACATGAAATAGAAAGTGATTAATGGATCACACCTGTGGAATGATAACTATGTCTGATGCATATTTCTAATGTCACTGGCTGATGTGTTTACCTCATGTAGCTTAGTGAACCAGGGCCATCTTCAGCCAGCACTGTGTTGATCTCTTCATGATGGATTTCTGTAGTCTCAGTGAGTGCTGTAGGTGTGTCGTTCACATCGATGGGCACCAATAACGAAGAGCGATTACTCTGAATATAAGCATAAAGGACATTCACTTTTAAAATAATTCCAGATTTTACTTGTGCTTGCCCTTAAAGGGTTAGTCCAAAAATGAATGAAAATTCTGTCATTAATTACTCACCCTACCTTGAACGTGGTAGTTACCTTGCTGTCTATGGGAGGGTCAGAGAGCCCTCATATTTCATCAAAAATATCTTAAATTGTGTTCCGAAGATGAACGAAGGTCTTACGGGTTTCGAACAACACGAGGGTGAGTAATTAATGACAGAATTTTAATTTTTGGGTGAACTAACCCTTTAAAAAGTCTCAGCCATGATGCTGAATTGTTTGGGTGATTGAATGCTGGCACATTGCTGTAAGGTTGGTAAAGCATTCTCGGTGGTTTTAGCATATTATGGAGTTGCTAGGGCATTGCTAGGTGGTTGCTAAGGCATTCTGGATGTTTTTAGCACATTAGGTGTGTTCCATTTGACTGTAAGTGGACTTCAAAGTGGACTTAGAGAATTTTGCCATCTTAAGTGTGATTCCAGTCTGAAGTGAGCGAACATGTTTAGTTTGAAGGGCACTGTGAACAGCATAGGGAATAAGTGTACATCGATACATCACTTCACAGGAAGTGGAGAAGGAAATTTACCCACCAGTCATTGCGCATCAGTCCAGTGCTTAAAGAAGTTTGATGTTTAAAACAAAGGCAATGTGGCACTATTATTGAGTTTAATTAGTCCCATGTGCGATTTGTAAGCGTACACCAACGTGCCAAACAGATTTTTTGGGGAGGATCATGCATTCGGTCATCCCATTAATAGTCTTGATCTTTACATGAGGCTAATTTAATATTTTTCCAGTGCTTGGCTCACTGTATTAATATTGATGTAAGTAAGCACCACTAATAGACAAAGAACTTGTCCCAAACTGGCTTGACTGACCCCAATACTCACTTGTACTTCACTCTGCACTTGTCTTTCTCCATCATCTCTTTGTCTGGTCGGTGTGTTTCTGTGTCTCTCTCTCCATCTCTCTTTCACATTCTGAGCCCACCTTTTAGCCTCCCCCCACTTCTTTCTACTTGTCTTTGGCGTATTTCCTGATTGCTCATGAAATCTGGTGCTTTCATTTCTCTCAGTCCCAGTACGCCAACTCCATGTGCCACTTTGACCTCTGACCTCTGTTTTTTCCAGCACTGAAGATGCTGTTGTTAGCGTTGGAGCTAAAAGATCAGGGGGGTTTTGGAAGGATTCTGTTTTGTATAAAGGTGGCACATTTGAGCTGGTCTCCCCTTCCAGAGAAAAATGTTGCTTCTTCTCCGGCATCTGATCGTCTCCAACCCAGGAAGTGACATCGCCCGTCCTCTCTGATGTGAAGCGCTTGTGTTCCCCCCAAATCAATGGTGGACGTTTAGGTCTACCAGAGAATCCTGAGTTGTGCTTACTGATCCTTCTGACAGGTTGTTTAGGAACAGAAGTCAATGCATCCCCAAAATTAGAAGATTGTTGAGTCCAAGGTTTCGCCCATTTATTCCAGACTGAGGCGCGTCCATCCTGCTCTTTACTGTTGGAAGAAAACCCAAACTGATCAATTGTTGTTTTAGATGAATCTTCCACTGGTTCAGCATTACATTCTCCAGACGGACTGCATGTTTGCATATCAGTGACTGAGCTACTGTTGGTCTGAGGGTTCAGTCGTAATTTCTGAAGCATAGATTCCAGTAGGGCATGAGAGTCTGAGACAGGGTCCAACTCCGCCATTGGACTCTATGGTACCACATGCGCACACATGAGTAGAGACAACTCACAGATATTGGGTAAGTGCAAGCATTCAAGCAGACTCGCTCTAGACGCTCAACTTTCACCCATGATAGTTACTGGTAGAGCTGTACAGTTCCATAGATCCTTCATTTATGTCATCATGTTAGTCCACACAAGTATTTATGCCCATCAGTCATTCAGATCCTCTTTGTTTTCCATCCGTCATGTGAGCTCTCAAAACTGTTTGATCCTTTCCCGATTTCTGAGTGTTGCAAAAGGAAGGAGTGCCATAAAGAATAGTGCAAAAGCCAGAAAGAGGTGTGTCCAACACCCAGATGGACAGGTAAGACAAGTGTGTCAGGATGAAACATTTTGTATTTTTGTCACTCCCTCTGACCAGCCGCTAAATGGCTGAGACACTGTGTCTTCTTGAGAACATTTCGACACCTTAATATGAAGTCACTGCTTCAGAAAGTTGAGTAATTTCATTTTATTGGTCACCCATTTTCTTTTAAGCAGCCAATGAACTGCAATTCTCTAATGCAAAATCACTTGTTGTAGTACACTAATTAAGTGTAGTAATTATGGTATTATATAGGTGGATTACTCTAGATTTATATTCATATTTATATAATATAAAGTAAAATACAATGAAGTGCAGTTACAATGAAATAATTATGGTAATGTGAAATCAGACATTAGATTAATGATGTAAAATTATGTAACCTTTTGAGTTAATTACTTTAAATAGTTTCATGACAGATTAACAGGTGTTGCACCAAACAATTCAGATTCGCATCAAACAATATTGTTAACTTCCACTAAAATACACACTATTACTTAAAAAATGCAATTTTATGCAACAGTGTAATTTGCCAGAAAAGACCCTTAGTCTAAGCTCCTCTTCTTAATGTTTTTATTATTATTATTATTTTTTTTTTTTTTTTTTTGAACGGGTGTTATTGTGAAAGTGAGAATGCGGCATACTATTATTATATTACTATCCATTTTACGGTTTAACATAGGCAATATATCAATACGTATCGCTTTTTATTTCTCCTCTTTCCTACTACTTGTTTCGCTTCTGTTTCAGTTTTTCATAACCATTTCTTACTATGTGTCAGTAAGTTGTTGTTATTTTAGCATTTAGTATTTTAGTGTTTGGCTCAGTGTTATTTTTTTTAGTATTACTGATAAACTAATGTAGTTTGATTTGTATTAGACGTATTTTAAATGCTAAATTTAAATTTAAATGTTTTAGTTTTGAAGTGTTGTTGTATGCATTTGTCATTTTTATTTAACTTCTTTTATTTTCTTAAATGTGTATATATATAGTATTTATAGAGTTTTAGCTTTTAGTTTTAATTACTTTTTCTTATTTGTAAGTCGCTTTGGATAAAAGCGTCTGCTAAATGACTAAAAGTAAAAGTAAAAATTATAAATCGTGAGGTGGTGCTGCTGTCACGGGAATTGTATTATGATTAACATTGTCGTGATGTCATTTAACTTTAAGTGGACCCGGCAGAACCTGTTGCTCATATTTAACCTCTTTCCTAACGCATTTTATGCTGTTCGTTTCATGTACTGTACATGAACCTGTACCTTTTGTATGTGGGCGCTTTGTTATGACGCAAACGCCGTATATCCCTAAACGCGAGATCCCTCGCGCTGATTGGCCAGAGCAGAAAATACGCGCCGCGTGTCGGATTCGAAGTAAACAGTGGCGCACACCTGCCAAATTCCTGAATTATCCGCTTATTGCAAGTTTACTTTTGTCTGAATGATGTACCATATGTTACGAGATAACAGATAACAGCTCTTAACTTTTCTTCACGATCAATTTCTTGCGTTATAATGGCCACTGGCGTCATGTGGCTGATTCCGTGGTTCGTCGTTAAAGATTCTGCTCCTGGCGCTGGATACTTTATGTAAACTCTGTTTAAAAGGAATATTGTTCACAAGCAAACCGTAATGGATTGTGTTGTAACCGGAGGAAACGTGAAAGGTAAATAGCTCGTGAGAGTAACTTCGTTCAGACGAAGTTCGTTTTTCAAAGCTGCATCATAAATAAACTTAAATGGTGTAACGTTAGCGTAACATAGACGTGTAAACAGGCTTCGCATGCACTTATATAAAATTACTTTATGAATAGAAGTATACTGATCCACACTTGTTGTAGTTTTAGCAAAAGCCATACATTCCCTGTCAAGAATCGGAGAGGACCTGTATTTGGAGCCTGTGGAGGATGGGGTATGTGTTTGTTTCCGGTGTTTATGATTGTTTAGCCTGATGTGAGGTGTTGGAATAATGTGTAATATGATTTTCTATGCTGTGAGGTCATGTGACTTGTGTGTGTCCTGTGTTTTTAGTTGGCCTTACGGTCGGTCAACTCATCCCGGTCAGCCTTCGCCTGCTTCCTGCTGTCTCCTCTCTTCTTCCAGAGATATCAGGCTGCTTCAGACCAGAGCTTCCGCTGCAAGATGCCCATCAAGGTGACATTTCCTGTTCCTGTTCATTCCATCCCTGCAGTTCCTCTTCATGTCTTTATGAGCTAAATACCTGTCCATTCATCACTTATACACTAGAATGTGTCTATATATATTAGTAATTTCCTCTTGCATGCACAGTTTTTTCAGGCAGGCTAAAATGTAAAAAGGAAATTCACAATGTACAGCAAAGTCTTCTTGATGGGAATGTTTTCCTGCTAGTCTGTCTTTGTCTTGTGTTCTTCAGAGTGTTCAGGCTGTGTTCAAGTCCCTGGCGTCTCTGGATCGCTCTGTAGAAAAATGCCGTATTCAGTTGAACAGTGAAACGAGTCGGCTGACCATAACTCTGCACTGTAAACATGGTAAAAACAGTCGGCTGAAAACACATTTTTTGTTAGTAGGATTAAATGTAAAATATATTATCATTGCACAGCTCTATATATAAAGTTGGAGATGCAAGTGGTCAACTTTGCCTGCTTGCATACATACAGCATACTCACATAAAGCGAGAAAATCTCAAATGCTTTATTGTTTATATCATGACAGAGTGTAACTATATTATCGGCCAGTTCTAATCTGCTAAATGCGATTATGAGGAATAAACATATTAAGATAGTATAAATATGAACAAACATTGTGATTTTTTGTAAAGCTGCTTTGAAGTGAGTATTATGAAAAGTGTTATACAAATTAAAATTGACTTGATTAACCTTTATTATGGCATGGCAATCAGTCAGTAATAAATTTTTTCTTCTAAATAAACTCAAAATCTTGCATACAAATGGCATATTTTACAGTATGATCACCTAAACTGTGTGTGTTTGTTACAGGGCTCTTGAAAACACACAATTTGTCCTTTCAGGACTGTGAGAGTCTGCAGGCCGTGTTTGATAAAGAGAGCTGTGCAAACGTGCTACAGGCTCAACCCAGGTTTACATTCATTTTAATACCTCAATATTATCAAGCCATTCGCATTCCCATTCAGAGTCTGTTTAATCATTTTCTGATGTACTTCGATGTCCACTGTAGGTTGATGGTGGACACAGTTCTGCATTTCCCTCCGTCTCTAGACGAGGTGAATCTGTCAGTGAGCAGTGATCGCGTGTGGCTCAGGAACCACGTGGAGGATGATGCAGGTATCAGTCATGTCAGTCTATATTCTTATGATATGCATGAAACGAATCAAGTCAAAGTTTTTTCCTCTCTCAGACTCTCTCAGAGCAATGATGACTGAACTGTGTTTGAGCTCGGAGGAGTTTGATCATTTTGCCGTCGGCACTCAGACCAGCGTCACCTTCTGCCTCAAAGAGCTCAGGGTGAGTGTGTTCTCACACAAACATTCACACCCAAAGACAGGCCTTAAAGACAACAAATCTAGCACAATTTGACAAATATCTGAGTGAAACAATATTTAAGGCCCCAACATCCAACTTATTTTTAACCTGAGTGTAGCTATTTGTAACCCGAATGTGTTGAGGCTTCCGGTTTCATCCGCATCCATTTACTTTTATCTGTACAAAACAGCTCGCTATGCTGCTTGATATTGCAAACTGGCATTTCTTAACATATTATTTTAATGTATTGTCTTAATTATAAACACACTGGTTTTTAGTGCAAATAGTTTGATTGGATCTATATATGAAGAGTTCATTTGCAAAAACCGATAAACGCCACTTTCGTCACCTTCTGCCTCAAAGAGCTCAGGGTGAGTGTGTTCTCACACAAACATTCACACCCAAAGACAGGCCTTAAAGACAACAAATCTAGCACAATTTGACAAATATCTGAGTGAAACAATATTTAAGGCCCCAACATCCAACTTATTTTTAACCTGAGTGTAGCTATTTGTAACCCGAATGTGTTGAGGCTTCCGGTTTCATCCGCATCCATTTACTTTTATCTGTACAAAACAGCTCGCTATGCTGCTTGATATTGCAAACTGGCATTTCTTATCATATTATTTTAATGTATTGTCTTAATTATAAGCACACTGGTTTTTTGTGCAAATAGTTTGATTGGATCTATATATGAAGAGTTAATTTACAAAAACCGATAAACGCCACTTTAAAAAAAAATTGTTAAAAAAATGCATTATTCTCCACATATAGCGCGATCTGAACCCTAAACACGTTTTGTCAAAAAAGCCAGTTTTGTCCACTTTCAAGGCATCGCGAGTTCACGTTTTACTGCAGAAGCCGACAAGCGCCCTTGTTGTTTTTGAACTGAAGCCGATAAGTCAATTTTAGCGAATCAGCGCACTGTATTCAGGTCAGGTGACAAGGCTACTTTCACTTTGAAAAGACGTGCTAGCTCAGAGGAGTTTCTTCAAAGCTGACTAAAAGTGATCGAGGATGCATAATTTCGACGAACTTGAACCTGTGATATCTTCTTCAGGGCGAAAAAGGAAAATAAAAGCTGAAACATTTTCACGGAACCTTGCAAAAACAGCGCGTTACCATGATGAGGGAAAAGCTCTGTGTATTGAGTGTAATCACATCCATACAGTTTATGATCACAACAACAACAACAACGTTTGTCAGGCATCAACATTGTCATCTGAATCAGCGCACTGTATTCAGGTCAGGTGACAAGGCTACTTTCACTTTGAAAAGACGTGCTAGCTGAGAGGAGTTTCTTCAAAGCTGAATAACAGTGATCAAGGATGCATCATTTCGACGAACTTGATGAACCTGTGATATCTTCTAAAGGGCGAAAAAGGGAAATAAAGGCTGAAACGTTTTCACGGAAGCTTGCAAAAGCAGCGCGTTACAATGGTGAAGGAAAAGCTCCGTGTATTGCGTGTAATCACATCCATACAGTTAGTCATTTTGTTGTGTTTTTGTCAGGTTTATTTATTTTTGCACGTCTACATTTATTATTATTTAATATTTTTAAGTACATCAAGTTAAACTAAATGAAAATGAGATATGATGCTGAAACAAAATGTTTGTATATTCATATATATATATATATATATGTTATTTATAATGATTATTTCAAAAAGTTATTTTTGGACCAAAAAAATGTTACATTTTCATGAAAGATTTGTAACATTTGTTTTAAAAAAAAAAAGGGATTTTTGTTATAGTAAAAACGTAAATAGGGTCAAATTTAATTACATTTTCAGACTTTTCTGGCGAGTAAACTTAAATAAATTACTAGCCAATGGCAATTCTATTGCCAAGGTGTCTGTAGAGGGTTGCAAAATCAAGAATGGATAAGAATGGCTCTTAAACATATTAAATAGGTAATTAGCTGTTTTATATATGAATATATTTTAACCTTGATTTTGCTATTAAAATAACCATAGAATGCTATAGCATTAAAACTAATGTTTTTGTCTCTCATCAGGGTTTGCTTGTATTTGCTGAGTCATCTGGTCTTCCAGTCTCTATGTATTTTGATGAGCCAGGCAGGTTAGTTTCTGTTTGCTTATGAACTAGCCCAAGTTCACTTTTTGTTCACATAGCTTATTTTAAAATATTTAAAATTGATATGTATGCTACCATGCAAAAGTTTGGATATGCAAATATTTTTGAAAGATGCCTCACCAAGACTGCATTTATTTGATGAGTAAAAACAGTGATATTGTTAAATATTACTAAAATTTAAAATCTGTTAAAATGTCATTAAAAGCTGAATGTTCAGCATCATTACTCCAGTCTTCAGTGTCACATGATCCTTCAGAAATCATTATAATATTCTCATTTGTAAGTCGCTTTGGATAAAAGCGTCTGCTAAATGACTAAATAAATAAAATTTGCTGCTCAAGAAAAATTTCTGATTATTATCCATGTTGAAAACAATCGTGCTGCTTAATATGTTTGTGGAAACTGATTTTTTTTTTTTTTTGGATTCTTTAATGAATCGAAATTTCAAAGAACTGCATTTATTTGAATCTTTTGTAACATTATAAATGTCTTTACTGTCACTTTTGATCAATTTAATGCATCCTTGCTAAATAAAAGTATGTATTTATTAAAAACAAATCTTATTTACTCCAAACTTTTAAGCAGCAGTGTATTTGTGTATACTCACCTGTGTGTGTTTGTGGTTGTGTTTTTAGTCCAGTTATCCTGAGTGTAACAGACAGTGTTCTGGAGGCAAATTTTGTCCTCGCTACACTGTCAGAGGACTCGCATCCAAAGAACCACGTCAACTCTGACACAAAACAGTAAGTAAAAATCATAAAATGTGGAATATAATCTTAAAAACTTTATATTGAGTTATATTTGTTACTTTAATACTTTTTCTTCCATAGCCCTGACACAGAACAACCACCAGATGACTTCATGAGCGATGACATGGACTCATTTCTCATCGCCATGGAGACCAGCGAACTACCTGGACCATCACATGCACCCGCATCCCCACCACGACCCTCCAATAACAGAAAGCACTCATTCAGTGAAGAGGAAGCACTTGCAGAAGGGCCTCCCAACAAAAAGGTACAATAATTATTTAAATGAATCATTTGTTTAAAAATATAAAACCCAATGCCCAGATCTCACTAATATTCAGTCCCTGCTTTCTTTCCTTTCAGTTTTGTTCGCTTTTCTTTGGTTCAGTTCTGCCCACTCCCTCTCAGTTGCCCAATCAGACGATGCAGAGCCAGGAAGTGCTTGCAAGTGACAGTGAAGATGAAAATCAGACAGAAACATCATAACCGCCCATCGACTGAACTCAGACGTAAAGGATGTGGAAAAAACACTCCCACATCCAACCTCACAAAGACTGCTGAATACATTTACACACAAATGTCTCCTCCTGATTTTATTTTTCTATGAAAATAATTATGGTTTTAAACCAAGAGATGAAGCAGTGAATATAACAAGCCACATCAAATCATTGCACAAGTCACATTAAAACATCTCACTCCCACTGCGGAATACAAATATGTGATCGAGTCTCTGATTATTTAAAAATATCCGTCAGAAAAAGGGGCAGAGTTTCTCCTGGCGTGAGATGTCTGAGAGTTACTGTTCCCGGGGGACACGACATTATCAGCACCCTTCCTGCTGAGCACCTGGAAGCTCCTTCCTCTTGTCTGAGGCTTTTTCCTTTCTTTGTCTTTGTCCTTTTCCATTTCCTTCTCTTGTTTCTTTCTGTCTTTCTCTTCTCTTTCTTTTTGCTCTTTCTCTCTCTTTCTCCTCCTCCTCTCTTTCGCCGTCAGCCCCTCCTCTTTATTGCTAAAGTCCTGGATGAGGATTTTGGGGACGGGGGCTTTATTGGTCTCCCCTCGGAGACGGCGAAACAGACCCAGACGTTTTGGGGTGCCTGCCTTTGTCAGTGAGTTAGGCTGAGCGTGTGTGTCTTGTGTTGGTGCGTCTGTTGTCTGTTCTGAATGTGTGTGTTCTTGCTGCTGTGGCTCTTTGAAGGTGTCCTCAGAGAGGATTGTGGGATAGGAAACCCGCGAGCTGGAAGTCCTGCGCACGCAGAGGTGAGCTGGTGGGACGTTTGGGGATTTTGAAGATTGAATTGAAGAGAGGGACTCTAACCCTTGGCTGTCTCCTGGTATTGCACATTCACTGTTATGAGGGTTGCCAGTTCCAGCAGTTACATGCTCTCTGCTGGTCTCCGAGTTGTCAGATCCGGTTGTGACATGATCATCTTTGTAATCTTGGTTGCCAGATCCAACAGCAGAATCTATTATATTGTTCTCAGGGTTGCCAGATTCACTTGTAGAAGGCACATCATTGGGCTCTGGGTTGCTAGATCCAGTGGTCACATGCTCTCTGCTGGTCTCTGAGTTGTCTGATTCATTTGTGACATGCACTTCTTTGTGATCCGGGTTGCCAGATCCAACAGCAGAATCCACTATATTACTCTCTGTGTTGCCAGATCCAGTTGTAACTTGCACATCATTACATTCTGGGTTTTCAACAGGAGAACCAACTATATTGCTCTCTGAATTGTCAGATCCAACAGCAACTTCCATGCCATCGTTTTCTGGTTTTTCAGTGTCAGTGGTAACATCTGTCATTTTGCATTCAGGGTTGCCAGATCCCGTTGTAAAATGCACATCATTGTTTTCAAGGTTGCCAACAGCAGAATCCTCTGGGTTGCCAGATTCACTTGTAACAGGCACAGTGTTGTTCTCTGGGTTGCCAGATTCACTTGTAACAGGCACAGTGTTGTTCTCTGGGTTGCCAGATTCACTTGTAACAAGCACAGTGTTGTTCTCTGGGTTGCCAGATTCACTTGTAACAAGCACAGTGTTGTTCTCTGGGTTGCCAGATTCACTTGTAACAGGCACAGTGTTGTTCTCTGGGTTGCCAGATTCACTTGTAACAGGCACAGTGCTGTTCTCTGGGTTGCCAGATTCACTTGTAACAGGCACACTGTTAATCTCTGGGTTGCCAGATCCAGCAGCAATTTCCATACCATTGCTTTCTAGTTTGCCAGATTCGGCAGTGATGTCTATTGTGTTGCGTTCGGGTTTTTCTGATCCAGGAGCAGCATGTATTTCGTTGCTTTCTGCATAGACAGATCTACAAATACCATCCTCTACATTGTTTGTGAGTTTGCTTGATTCATCAGTATTGGCTTCACAACATGCTATATTTTCAGGTGATTCATTTACTTCACTAATTTTGGGATTGATCTCACGGATTTCTTTATTACCACATCTGCCAACAGAGTGTGTAGATGCTACTGTTGCATCCTGAGGTTCAAGGATGATGGTGCCATCAGCAGAATCCACTTCACTTTGCTCTGGGTTGCCAGATCCTACTGCATCCTCCACAGTGGGATCTGTTGGACAATGCTCCAACTCTTTGGAAGTAACAGTAGCATACATGTCATTGTGCTCTTGGTGGCCTGATTGGGATTGCTGTAGGGGATCTGCTGATCCGTCCAGATGCTCTCTTTCACTTTCTTGTTCAGTTTTTAAAGAGGATGATGTTAGTGCTGCTTCAGATGGTGACACGGTTTCTTTACCAGCACTATGAGAGTGACTGTCACTCTCTTCTAAGCTTATATCTTGTCTGTCTTCCTCCAATCTCTTGTCATCTTTCTCCTCATACATCTTTAAAGGGTCTGATATCTCTGTGGTCTCCTCAGGGAGAACATCAAACTCTTGCTGAATCCCTTCCTCCTTGTCTGCATCAGTACGGTTTTCACCAATAGGCTGAGTCTCCTCAACTTCCTCTATAGCTGTGTGTATGAACAAACTGTCTTTTGGTCTTTCCAAGTGTTCATGTTCTTCATGTTGATCTCTAGATGTTTGAGACCTCTCTTCCTTCTGGACAACATGTATCTGTATCTCTTTCTCTGGGATATTTTCCTCATTTTCTTCAGTCACTATGATGTTTGGCAACCTATCTTCTTCAGTTTCTTCTTCTTGTTTGCAATATTCTGTTCGTATTTCTTCTTCCTGGATGTTGCTGTCTGGTTGTATTTCCTCTTCCTGTTTACTGGAGTCAGTCTGTATGTCTTCTTCCTGTGATGTACTTTCCCCACATGCCTCTAAATTTCTCTCAGTCTCCACAGTCTGTTCATCTTGACACGTCTGTTTGTCTGTATTCTGTTCATTTTGATTTGTTGGTGCTTCTGTATTCTGATCATCTTGAGTTTTGTCTTTTTCTATATTCTGTTCAACCTGATGTCCTTGCATTTCTGTACTCTGTGCATCTTGATTTGTGTCCTGTATATGATGATTTGTCTGTATGCTTTCCTCAACCTCAAACCCAGCGGTCCTTTCTTTCTCTTCACCTCGTGTTGTTTCTGAATTCTCTTTCTGTTGGTTCAAAGATGTTTCTGTATGCTCTTTCTCAAAGACATCACAGTCAATAGTGGAGGACACCACCACTGAGATGTTGGGAGGTGTGCTGTGATCTTTGTGTGTGCAGAGTTCGTCCGCTAGCCTGTCCCTTTTGACCCTTTGCTCCCCAACGATACCGCACACACTCCTCCTCCTCACCTCCTCGTCATCGCTCTCCTCCATCACACTTTGCGAGAATTTTCTACCCCCTCCATCCCACTCCTCTGTGTCAGTCTTGCTGCTCCTCTTTCTCCATTTCTTGCGCAGAACTGAAGGAGAAAGAGAAGAATGTGAGCGCATGAGAGGAAGAGTCAGGCTTCCCTTCGGTCGCTCCTTCTTTTCATGTTCCTTTTGTTTGTCCTGCGCTCTCTCCCATGCCATTCGGTATCCGTGACAGCGCCCTCGCGGGTCAAAGGTCGAGTTTGGTCTCTCTTTTTTCCATTTCTCCAGCTCTTTCTCAGTTTGTTTTTGCAGGTCCGCCCAGGACAGGGACACCGAACATACCTGAGGGTGTAACAGTGGTTTTGAGTAAAGAAGTCCAACAGTTAGCGGAAGCTAGAGATTACAGTTTATAAAGTTTTAAATATGAATATTTTTCTTACACAAATGCATCGATTTGCTTCAGAAGGCCTTTATTAACCCCCCGGAGCCGTGTGGAGAACTTTTATGATGAATGGATGCACTTTATTGGGTTTCCAAATCTTAACACCCATTCACTGCCATTATAAATCTTGTAATAGCCAGAACATTATTTAATATAACTCCGACTGTATTCGTCTGAAAGAAGAAAGTCTTATACACCTAGGATGACTTGAGGGTGAGTAAATCATGGGGTAATTTTCATTTTTGGGTGAACTATCCCTTTAATGCGTATAAACAGCAGATGGTCTAAATGTAAATGCATATTCATGACAGTAGGTCGCAGTTTTAGACAGTTAACCCAGTTCACAGGAGAAGAAAGAAGTCAAACAGTATTTAAATATTTTCAAATACTCAGTTTTCAGATTTTTGTGTTCACTATGGTGTTTATCAAACAACACCGAATACAAGAGTGCAGAGATAAGAGAGCTGGTGTTGTGAGAAATCAGGTCTCTATCAACTAATAGTTAAACTAAGTACACACAAATGACATTAATTTAAAATATGTATATAAATGCTTACTATGTAGTGCATAATAAAATTAACTGGACAAAAAGTTCACTTGATAAAGTTAAACAATATTAAATTATTTAACATTGATCCTAACTGAAATATTTACACGTTTAACACGAAATTACATTAAAGATTGTTGTGAATATTGTCATAATTGTGTAAAGCAGATGAGTGTTGTATAGGCTAAGCTCTCAGGCTAACCAGGTATCTGCATGCAAATCATACAGAGATTCATTAGGGTGTGAACAGGCCTTTATTCAGATGAGTTGAAATAATCAGTAATATTACCTCATGGATAAAGGCATCAGCCTGCTCATGTTGAACACGCTGTTTTACACCTCGCAGTCTTTCCAGGGTTTCCATCTGTCCATCACACTCTTTTCGCAGCCGTCCTTCTCCCAGACAGCGGCGCACCAGCACCACAGCGACCTGAAACAAAACACGCACACCTGCAACACACACAAGCTGTGCTCAATGCATGGACTCCAACAACAGCTCAACATGGCAAGAGGTGTAATAAAGGTGCACTCAGCATTTTTTCATAAAACTAAATACAACCAAAGAATGGATGGTACTTTTGACAAATAGGTTTTAAAACTGGTGGTATTAGTGGCCTAACAAATGTTTTATTCTGCATAATGCAAGTTGAGCTGTGCTAACCGCCCTGCTGAAATCACATGGCCTGTTTCACACTGTATTCAATAGCAAACGGACACTATCGGACACTTATTGTTGCAGAATAAACAGTGGTAAATGGTGACAAATATTGCAACAGTAGCACCCAGTATCTGAAAATGTTTGCATGATTTGCCATCCAAGCCAATAGGTGGCAGTATAACGTCTAAGACCACAATCAAACCAACAATTACTTATGGTGTGTTCAAGTCATGTCGGATAGATCGTATTTACGAGTTGAACGCACATGAACGCCACCACAAAGTCATTATTACGAGTGGGAAACTCGAAATTTTCTTTAAGCCCCGAGTTTCCGAGTTGGGGGCGTGTCAATGAGAAACATGGCGGAATCGATGGATGCAACGTCTGTAGTTGACGGTAAATTTTTGTTTAAATTGATGGTTTAGTTGTCCTATAAACTTAAATTGGTCATGTTCTTGTTACGCAGCTAGTTAATGAAATCCAAGTAAAAAAATGCAGACCCTGTTGTATTTTCTTGTAATTTATTAAAAGAAGGTACACCGCCATCTTGTGCCGACTAAACTGACTTGAACGCATCTGACGTCGTAATTACGACTTGTCAACTCGTAAGTACGAACGTCCCAGGAGGACTTGAACGCAGCATTAGTGCATCTTTAAATCATGCAAATATATAGTTAAAAAACAAACCACAGCAGAAAAAGAGATCCCAGACTCTGAGCAGAGTGTCGAAGGGCAGGTGACGGCTGTACAGACACATCAGCCAATCAGTGGCAAACATGAGAGGCTCCACCCCCTGATTCTGTAGGTGTTTGTGTGCGGCAGGACACTGTTTTTTTAACACGCTTGAGAGAACAGCAGCATCGAATAAAACACCTTCCTGAAGAGAAAGAAAAATAAAAGCCTATTTTTCATTTTTCACACCCATTTAACAGCTGTTTTCAAGGTTACTGTAAAGATGCCCTACCAGCAGAGGGCTGTAATATCCAGGGAGGTAGAGCTCACTAATCTGCGCCAGACACCAGAACGCCTCCTAAAACAAAGCAAATAATTAGGCCATATTAAGCATCAAGGATACTAGCAAACAAACTATTTCTGCAGTAGCCAATACATACAATTTCAGATATAATAGCTGGACACCACTCATGGAATTAAATATTTAAGGGGCAGTTCTCCCAAAGATGAAAACTCTGTCATCATTTACTCACCCTCAAGTGGTTTCAAACCTGTATGAATTTCTTTCTTCTGTTGAACACAAAAGAAGATATTTTGAAGAATGTTGGTAACCAAACAGCTGCAGGTAGCTACTGACTTCCATAGTGTTTTTCTTCTATGGAAGTCAATGGCTACTGGCTACTGTTTGTTTCCCAACATTCTTCAAAATATCTTCTTTTGTGATTAACATTTCATTGTTGGGTGAACTATGCCTTTAAATAATAGTATTGAGGTCATGTGGCAATAAATGGTAGTAAACTACTGTTTGAAATTGTTTAGCATTGCATAATTTGTTTCGTATGAGATCAGTAACATTTTAAAAAAAGAAATGAATACTTTAATACACCAAGGATGCATTAAATTGATCAAAATAAACAGTAAAGACATTTATAATCTTGCAAAAATTAAATGCTGTTTTTTTTATTTCTATTCAAAGAATTCTGAAAAGAAATTATCATGGTTTCCACAAAAATATTAAGCAGCTGTTTTCAACATTGATAATAATAATAATAAATGTTTCCTGAGCAGCAAAGCAGCATATTATAATGATTTCTGAAGGATCGTGTGACACTGAAGACTGGAGTAATGATGCTGAAAATTCAGCTTTGATCACAGGAATAAATTACATTTTATAATATATGAAAACAGAAAACAGTAAAATTATTTACAATTGTAAAAATATTTCACAATATTACTGTTTTTACTTTGACTTATTTCAAAAATGCCCCCAAATGTTTGAATGGCAGTGTACATTATAAATGTATGTTTCACATATTATTTGTGACCCTGGAGCACAAAAGCAGTCTTAAGTCACTGGGGTATATTTGTAGCAATAGCCAAAAAAACATTGTATGGGTCAAAATTATAGATTTTTCTTTTATGCCAAAAATCATTAGGATATTAAGTAAAGATCATGTTCCATGAAGATATTTTGTAAGTTTCCTACTGTAAATATATTAAAACTTAATTTCTGATTAGTAATATGCATTGCTAAGAACTTCATTTGAACAACTTTAAAGGTGATTTTCTCAGTATTTAGAATTTTTAGTATTTTTTTGTACCCTCAGATTCCAGATTTTCAAATAGTTGTATCTTGGCCAAATATTGTCCTATCCTAACAAACCATACATCAATGAAACGCTTATTTATTCAGCTTTCAGATGACGTATAAATCTCAATTTCGAAAAATTGACCCTTATGACTGGTTTTGTGGTCCAGGGTCACATTTGGTTGTTTAATCTGTAATAGCTCTTTGTTATTTACTGTATTACCAGGTAAATAATCATGACAGAAGCAGTACCTCGGCAGGCATGTTCATCAGAAGGACAGCTGCCACTGGACCCTGCGCCTGACAGTAGCCCTCGTCTGGACGATACTGAGTGTACGCTTTCAGGACCTCCAGCAAGTCCTTCTGACTGCTCATACAGAGACCAGACAGAAGCAGACACCGCATGAGAACGGGAGCTTTATGACTAATGTTGTGAATTATAATGCTGCAGAGCACATTGAAAGGGAAGGGAACGGCAACACAGTACCCATGACCGTCTTTGGACTGGAACATCTCGTGGAAGGGAAATTGTCTGTCTGTGTCTCTTTTGATGATATCGGTCCATCCCTGATGATCTGGAGCTTTAACTAGACGCTAGTGGAGACAGAGGAAACACAGGGCTTATATAAGAGTATATAAAAAAGATGATACAAATATGACCAATCACTTACTTTATAGAGTTCTTGACTTTTTTCTTTTCTATCCTTAGCTCCACAGAGCAGTGGCCAGCCCTTTGCCCTGACGGATGCTGGGATGCCCTTCTGACACTGACCTTTGACCTGACACAAAGAAAGAGAGCTGAGCGATGCTGTTGACTACCGTAAGACTCATGCTACGAAAGCTGTTTTGACTGCAGATGACTTTTGGAAGAGTTTTGGAAATGTTAGCATATTGGGTATTATTGGATAAAACATTTAGTTAATAATTACCTTAGCATTAAATATAATGATCCTAAATCTTCTTTTTTATGATTGGTCAAGGTACATACAGAGGAATTTGGCACTCATTTGCAGGCTGCAGTATTTGACATTCAACATCCTGTATCATATGTAGGCCGACTGACAATGATATGAGGTCTCACACAATAATCAGCAGACGAATAAAGGCTCAAAGAATCAATCAAGATCATAAACAGCGGAATACATTTATTTTCAAAACTACTTTGATGATTTTGTTTGTCATCACATTTTTTCTTTATGGCCAGCTTGAGCCAATGGCAGCTTTTGAAACATCTGGGCAATTTACACATCTCTAATTCATTAACTGATTACAGATTTATGAATTTTCAAGTTCCATAAACAGGCCTCTACAGTTTACAGCTGTTCAACTTACAAATAATCTGAACGTTATTATTCTTTCTCTTCTCTGTCCCTTGTGAAAAACAAATGTGCTTAATTGTAACTTCAAATCTTGAAAGTATATTTTTAAAAAAAAAACTACTAGCAGATAATACAATTATCAGATAATAAATATTAATGAAACAAAAGGCCACTTAAGTGTACTTGAAGAGAGTTCACTCTCATGACTTTCTTAACACACTCAAGTAAAACAAGTAAAAGTGCACTTTGATATAATGTCAAATTGAAAGTTTAACTTATCAAATAATGATGTTGTAATAATCTTGTCATGCGTGAAAGACATAGTTTACATTTATTTTTGATGTGGAGACTAATATACAAAAGGACAATGTAAAGCACTTGATTATCATTTTTAACTGCAGAGTTATTTGATATTACATTTAGAGTTAATGGCCCGGTTTCACAGACAGGGCTTAGACTAAACCAGGATTAGGCCATAGTTCAATTAGGACATTTAAGTCATTTTTATAAACATGCTTAGAAAAAAACATTACTGGGGTGCATCTTGAGACAAAACAAAGGCACTGATATATTTTAAGATCAATCAGTGCAAGTTTCTTTCAGTTAAAACAGCTAAGACTTACATTTTAGTCTAGGATTAGGCTTAAGCCTCGTCTGTGAAACCGGGGGATAATATTTTAAATACTACAGTGCAACTTCTTCATTACAAATGTGTAATTAGGAATATATTTAAATACATGACATAAAGGTTTCAATAGAAATGATATTAAAATATATTTTAGTTCATCATAAATGCTTGTCAGTACATTTGGCAGTACACATTAGCTATATTTCAAAGACAACGGAAGTAATTATGAAATTACACATAAATATTATTTAAGTGGTCATAAAAGCAGACTAAAATTCAGCTAATTGCATTTAATATACATTTAAAATGAAAAATGAATATATAAAATAAAAATGAATGTATATTATTTCCGTAAGCACTTTTTTTCTTTAAAGTATGCTCAAGTGTACTTGTATTTCCACAAGGGGTTGGCACAAAATTTATAATTTTATCATTGCATGACTAAAAATGTTTTTTTTTGAAGAAATGCGTGTCCATGCAAATCTTGCCACAACAACGTAAGAGTTGGCCTGACAGATGCTTTTCCATGTGAATTATACATTCCAACTGATAAATATGAATTTCTTTTGTCTTCATGATATTTTCTATCATAGTGCTTAGATATTGCTGGGACTCCATGTTTGAATAAATGTCTGAATGATATTCTGGTCCCTAGATATGGATGGGGGCCACAACTTATTATATTAAAAAATGTGCTAGATATAGATTTGATTTTATGTACAATTTTACACACAAGTATACAATAGCAAGATAGACACACCTTGTTGCTCTTTTTCTCCATCACTTGCTCCCATTGAGTCATGAGGTTGAGCCACTTGGACTCTCGATGTCTCACTAACTCAGGACATGGACCGTCACTGTCAACAACACACACAATCAGCAACACTACACTCACAATACAGCAGCATCACTGTCACTGTACAGTCAGTGTGAACATACTTTCCACTGAAGCAGAAAATCACACACCTTTACCCTGCTTCCTAACTCACTCTCACTAAAGCGCGTCCCCATACCAGAGCACAGCACGAGTGTCACAAGAGGCAAACACGCACAAAAAACAGGAAACCACACTCTGACAGGCTAGAAATCACCATGGCAACATGACAGGATGTTGAGAAGGAGAAAATGAGAGTAAGAAGTGCGGAAGGTGACGGTAACATGGTGAATTATGAATTATCAATATTGGTAATACAGAATTAGAAGCACCTTGACCACAGATGATATATTTAATCACACACACTGTGCTCAACTAGGGCTTACAGCATACAAATACAGTCAAGAACACTTAAATCAGGTTCCACCTAAACTCTGAGCCAGACATCAACACTGACCTGTCAGTTTCTCCATTCCCTAGAATGAAGCCGAAGCGGTTCGTCTCCATAACCGTGACCTCTGGCCCATGATTCCCCTCCTCATCCTTGCTATGGTCTGATTTAACAGACATCTATGCATGTGTGAGAGAGAAATGCATCCAGAAACATGATGTCATGTTTGATAACGAATGGATTTCTATGTCAGTCTCATTTCTGTTACCAAACAAGCGCCATTTTAAAAGCAAATTAATTTGCATGACACAATATACATGGCACTGTAGTATGTATTGATTTGGAATTAAACCCTATTTACTAATGCACATTAAGCACCGAATCATCATTAATACAGTAGAACAACAGAAAAACACAGTCAATTGTGAGATAATGGTCAGTAGAGCAAGTTACCTTCACGCTTCTGCCAAACTCAAAGGTGCCGTTGTCCTCTGATGGGAGGGAAGACAACTAAGACAAAGACTTCCGCTGTAAAGTCAGCTAGTGTGTGGTTGTGCATGTGTGTGTATGTGTGTGCGTGTTTGAATAACTTGGCTGGAGGAAAGGCCATGTTGGATCCTCCTTTATGATGAAAATCAAATAGTCCAGTGATTTCTTGTGTTAACCATTATAAGGAACTGAAAGTTCAGTTTTACTAGTGCCCTGTGATGATGACATGCATCAGGTAACGTCACATTCATTGAGACACTACATTGAATACACTCTGCAGGACTAGAGTGAAGGAGGGTGAAGTGGGAAACTTGAGAATTTGTCACTGGCTTTGTTTTAAAATATATTCCAAATGGCTCATATCACAATATTATTTTAGAAATACACGAGTTGTACCATACAGATCAAAAAGGAAGTGTTTCATACAAAACCTCAAATGCTCAAGTGGATTTTGCCCTAAACTGTGGTAAATGTGACTACACCTTTATAGTCAAAGTGGGACCGGTAGTTATTCCAAAAACAACATTCAAATGTAAATTAAAATGTGCAACAATAACGATCTGCTATTTGTTCAGTGCAGTGATACAGTGAACAGGTATTTAGCACAGCTGGAAAAATTTATTGACCAAAATGTATTGATCAGAAACCTACTACTAATTGTTATAAGGGGGTGGAGTTTGCCAGGCATATGGGCCTAAGACACCAAGTTGCCCCAAATCACCACTGTGTGTGTGTAATTATTTTTAATGGTTGTTATTCTGAAAGTGAACTTGTTCTTCTGTCGCTTCAAAATAAAGTGTGCATGGCGTTAACGATGCAAAGAACATGATGGATGGAAAGAGGAACTTGTTTAGTGGCCCAAAGTGTAAGAAAGTAAGAAAGTAGTGATGAAGATGTGAAAAGAAAAAGAAAGAGTAGCCATACTTATGGTGACCGCATCAGTCAAGATGCTATTTTCTGCACCTCACAGCCATGTACAGAATGAGGTTTGTCTAGATAGTGTATATGAGACTGGTTAAAACTGCATCTCTGCAGTTATTAATTATTCCATTTGTGTGTTTAGAAGCAAATTATGATGTTCAGCCATACTGAGATGTTACTTACCTGGTAGTACTTACCTCGTGAGTTTATTATTCAAACCAACATTCAAAGTGATAAATATTAACAGGTAAATATAAACTGTAACCTCTCTAAAAATGAAGGAATAGTTCATATTTCCAGATTATCATGTTTTCCTTTCAAAACAAAACATTTTTGTAGATTTTCCAAGTCTTTTAAATGTGGTACACAGTAGGGCTGTCAAAATGACTGAAAAACTAAATTCGAATTTTCCACTTAAAAAGCTTTTGGCTTCTCTCCTGAGGCCACAAGAGGGCGCATCGAGCTAAATATTATGCACGTTTCTTCAAAGCGTAACAAAATAACACAACTATCTTTGAAAAAAAGTGCATAGTGTTATATATATATATGTTATATATTCACTTTACTCTGACTGAAATGGCAAGATTGGCTTTCATCTTGTGAGAATGTTGTGACTGTATTGTTAATATCTCGCTGTGTCCCGTCTGATTAAGACATGCAGTAACGGGTCACTCAAGTTTAAGTCCCAAAAGAGATGTTTGAGAGATAATACATACCACTGAAGGTGATGTAGGCCGAGTTTTCAGGAGGTCCCCAACACCAAAATCGATCAGTTTGACCTCCATAGTCTCAGTGTTGAACAGGAGGTTGGACATCTTTAACGACAGCAGTATCGATCGCATGCCGCATGAAATGACGGACCAATGCCTCACTGAAGAGGTCGCCCTGATGCTCCCAAAAATCATGCATGTCCATGCAGGGTGAGGACCGCTCTAAATCCATCATGTACTGGTCGGGATGGTCCTGCCAGTCCAGCAGCTCTATGATGTTGTGACAGCGGGGGCCTTGATTGGCCATGACCGTCAGAGCCACCTCTAGAGGAACCGGACTGGGACGGTCAGGCTAGAAGAAAGACTGATTTTTATGATGGTCAGATGGAAGTGGTTTCTCAAATAAGGATTTAGCTCAGTCTGTTTGTCTATTGAAATATCTGTACTCTGTGTTTTATATGAATCTAAGATGTTATAAACTGCAAACAGTGAATGAGAGGTACGACTCGTTTTCTGTCTTCATTGTGAATTTCACAGCCACCGGAAGGCTGTCCCTTCAAAGACGGAGCCGCATCCTCCTTCCCTCAACTTCTTGACGATGATATATGTCCAGGAAATGTAGTCTATTAAAATATAATTATAGTTTTTTTATTATTATTATTATTTAATAAAGCAGTGTCCTGCAGTGTGGCACGCCATACTTTTTCTAAAACTATTTTACCATTGTTTCTAATTCTCATATAATTATTATACTTCTACTTTTAATTACTTCATTTTACTTGAGAGAGATATTGCTGAATCTATTTTTAAAATTCAGTTGACGCACTTTAGGTCTATTTAAGTGAACTGCAAAAAAGCCAAATTGTGTAAAAACTAAAATGGTTTAAAATTATGAAAAAACTAGAAGAACTACCTTCCAGGAAATATTACTGCAGCTACAGCTGTATTATTTAAAACAAACCTTCCTGTAGAGTGTGTGTGTTATATATTTTGGGTTATGACAGTAAACTCACCCTTGTTCCTCGCAAGGCTGTAACCATGTCTTGAACATTGGGGGGGACCAACTTTTATTTATATATATATACACACACACACACAGAGAGAGAGAAAGAGAGAGAGCGATCATATGGCGCAGGGGGAAACACAGAAACATTCTGGAGCACAGAAACACCCCGCAACTTTTTTTAAAATTATAATATATAATTTCTCAGCAACAAGGTGTTTTTGAAGTAACTAAACACACAGCTTCATTGTTTATAGAGAGAAACGTACAGATGCAGGTGATTCACACAGCAACTTTAATCTCTCTCTCTCTCTCTCTCTCTCTCAAAATGGCCATATTAGAGAAAAAAGTCGAGTTGTTTGAGTCACTGGATATAGCTGTCGGTCATTTAACATTTCTATCGTAAAACAGTTGACTAATATTAAATTAACTGCATTTTGCAAATTTCCATTTTACCTCGCTGTCTTTAAACGTTAAACTTAAACGTTAAACTGACGCTTCCCTCTGAATTTGCGCTCTGCTTCTGTGAACAGTAAACCCTACTTTGATTTGATTGGCCATCTCAATTAGACGAACGCCGGTCCTGGAGAGCCGCAGCCCTGCAGAGGTCAGCTCCAACTCTAATTAAAACTCACCTCCCTGTAGCTTCCTAGTAACCATTCAGACCTTGAGTAGCTTGTTCAGGTGTGTTTGATTAGGGTTGAAGCAAAACTCTGCGGGGCTGCGGCTCTCCAGGACTGACGTTCGCCACCCCTGGTCTATGGTATGCAGTATATGCAGTGCATAGGGGTGCCGCACACAGGGGGCGCCATTTTGCCGAAATCATTCTGTGAAAATATTATTTAATAAAACGTTATAAATAATCAAAAGCTTAGTTATTAAAATATATTGTATTATTATTGTAAAAAATAATGTATTGCAAAAAAATTTATCTAACGGTTTTTAGCATTTTAATGAGTTCAAAAATTTATTTATTATAATCTTGTTAAGACGCGGAACGGCCGTATCTCTTTGCGACCACAACAAACGGGAGACTTTTCAGTCGCGCACTTCAGCTTTAACCTACCTCAGCGCGCGAGTCAAACGATCGCGGAAAAGCTACAGGTGCCAAGTGACCTTCAGTAGAACAACAGTGAACTGCGGTCTGATGAGATGTTGTTATTTCAGTAAAACAAACTTTCTTGTCCTGTCAGCCGTTTTTACTGTGCTCACGGCGCACGCTCTTCAACTGTATGCGAATATGAGGCGCACGCTCACTTCATAAATAAACCGCACTAGAAACTGCGAGCATACATCGTCAGTTAAGTCTGCAAAACTGTGCATGCATGTATATATGCATTACATTTAAGAACGTCTCTCAAATGCATGCAGCCTACTGAAATATTATGCAATTCAACATAGGGCGCAAGATGATATTTAATTTTTTATTTATAATTTAATGAACAAGTAGGCCAAATGTGAGCACAGTGCAGTTGTACTAGAAAATATGCGCTAATTTTTCGTTAATTTGTAATGTACGAAAATGAAAAGAAAATGAAACCATATTTAAATGCATAAAATAACTTTCTTATCTTGCATTATTTTCCTTACCTTTGTACAGAGCTCGATTTAGGTATGAGAATAGAATGTTAAACATTGACTTTTTCAGAGTTCATTGATTATATAAAATGCAGTGAAGGTTGACTATAGTTATCTGCATGTCTCATCCATGAGTAGGCCTATATGCAATGATGGAAAACAAGATTTTGGGGGTGTTAAGACCCAGAACCAAGCTTACTGAGCAGTAAAGCTATAGTGAGCACTTTTATTAAAATACCTGGAGCCTAGGTAATACAAAAATAATACAAAAATTGTCATTCACTCAGTATTACTTGATGTAATTCTATCTCAAATGTAAAAATGATCTCAATTACATTTAAGTACAAATTAGTTGTATTCAGTTGTGTTTTAGGTCCTAAAACGGTCCAGTACTTTCTAGTCAAATCCATTTCTATATAGAAATAATGAAGATTTCTGTGCCACCCCAGACTGGTTCCTGGCCCCTTCCTGGCCACCCCTATGAAAACATCCTGGCACCGCCACTTCCTAAGAGGGCAAAGTGATTAATATCAGTTCATTTCTGAGTATCTCTATTGCTCGGAAGAAAAAAAGCACATGTTTGTGAATGGCCATTTCATTTATATTTGAGAGAAACTGAGAAGATTATAAACAAGGATACAAACTGGCCACCTTTCACTGAAAATTGCTGTTCTGAATTCAAAGGCCATCTGTGTGATTCCAGTTGAAAACTCTTGCTACTTCATACTTCAATACAAAACAATGCTGAACTTTGACAAAAAGGAGATTTTTAAATGCTATAATAGTGATTTTATAATGTCTAAATATAAATTCATT